AAAATACTATGAAAAATTGTACTCCAACAAATTTGAAAACCTAGAGAAAATCGACAAATTTCTAAAAACACAATACCACCTAAACCAACACAAACTGAGATAGAAAAGCCAAATACACCTGTAACAAAAGAAAAGATTGAAGAGATAATTTAAAAAAAAAACTCCCAACAAAAAAAAGCCCTGGCCCTGATAGCTTCACTGGGGAATTCTATCAAACTTTCAGAGAAGAGTTAACACCAGTACTACACTAAAGGTATTTCAGAGCATAGAAAAGGATGCAATACTGAACTCATCTATGAAGCCAAGTTAGCCTTGATATCAAAACCAGGTAAAGACACTACAAAAAAAAGAAAATTACAGACCAATATTCCTCATGATCACAGACTCAAAAATCCTCAATAAAATTCTAGCCAATAAAATTCAACAACATATCAAAAAATAATTCACCATGACCAAGGAGGATTCATACCAGATATGCAAGGATGGCTCAACATTAGAAAAACAATCAATACAATTCATCATATAAATAAAACAAAAGAACCAAATGATCTTATCAATTGATGCAGAAAAGGCATTTGACAAAGTCCAACACCCCATTCATGATAAAAATCCTTAGCAAAATAGGAATAGAAGGGAAATTCCTCGACAGAATAAAGAGCATTTATACGTCAACAGCCAACATCATCCTAAATGGAGAGAGTCCGAAAGCATTCCTCTTGAGAATGGGAGCCAGAGAAGGATGCCCTTTATCATCACTGTTATTCAACACTGTGCTGGAAGTCCTAGCCAGAGCAATAAGGCAAGAAAAAGAAATAAAGGGCATCCAAATTGATAAGGAAGAAGTAAAAGTATCCCTATTTGCAGATGATATGATTTTATACATAGAAAACCCCAAAGAATCTACAAGAAAACTACTTGAACTAATAGATTTCAGCAAAATATCAGGATACAAGATAAACATACAAAAATCAGTTGAATTCCTCCACACCAACAAAGATAACTTCAAAGAGGACATCACCATATCAATACCATTTACAATAGCCCCCAAGATAAAATACTTATGAATAAATCTAAACAGAAACGTAAAAGACCTATACAAAGAAAACTACAAGACAGTACTGTCAAGAAACCAAGAGACTTACAAAAGTAGGAAAACATACCTTGCTCATGGATAGGAAGACTCAACACTGTGAAAGTGTCAATTTTACCCAAAATGATCTACAGATACTATGCAATCCCGATCCAAATTCCAATGATATTTTTTAACAAAATGGAGAAGCAAATCACTAACTTCATATGGAAAGGGAAGAGGCCCCGGAAAAGTAAAGCATTACTAAAGAAACAAAAGTGGGAGGCATCACACTATCCGATTTTAGAACCTATTATACTACCATAGTAGTCAAAACAGCCTGGTACTGGTACAAAAATAGATACATAGACCAATGGAACAGAATTGAGAATCCAGACGTAAATTCATCCACCTATGAGCAGCTGATATTTGACAAAGGCCCAAAGTCCATTAATTGGCAAAAAGACAGTCTCTTTAACAAATGGTGCTGGCATGACTGGATATCCATCTACAAAAAACTGAAACAAGACCCATACCTCACACCATGCACAAAAATGAACTCAAAATGGATGAAAGACCTAAATATAAAATCCAAAATGATAAGGATTATGGAGGTAAAAAAATAGGGACAAGGCTGGGAGCCCTAATGCATGGCATAAAAAGAATATGAACCATTAGTAACAATGCACAAACACTAGAAGAGAAACTGGATAACTGGGAGCTCCTAAAAATCAAACTTATGCTCATCAAAAGACTTCATCAAAAGAGTAAAAAGACAACATACAGACTGGGAAAAAGTTTTTGGCTACGACAAATCTGAAAAGCATCTAAGCTCTAAAATCTACAATATATTGCAAAACCTCAACAACAAAAAGACAAATAACCCAGTTAAAAAATGAGCAAAGGATATGAACAGACACTTCACCAAAGAAGACATTCAGGTGGCTAACAGACACGAGGAAATGCTCATGATCACTAGCCATTAGATAAATGCAAATCAAAACTACAATGAGATACTATCTCCCCTCAACAAGGCCAGCATTAATCCAAAAAAACACAAAATAATACATGTTGGAAAGGTTGTGGAGAGACTGGAACACTTATACACTGTTGGTGGGAATGTGAAATGGTACAACCACTTTGGAAATCGATTTGGTGCTTCTTTAAAAAGCTAGAAATAGAAGTACCATATGATCCAGCAATCCCACTCCTAGGAATATATCCTAGAGAAAAAGGAGCCATCACACGAATAAATATATGCACACCCATGTTCACTGCAGCACTGTTCACAACAGCAAAAAGATGGAAACAACCTAGGTGCCCATCAACAGACAAATGGATAAACAAATTATGGTATATTAACACAATGAAATACTACACAACGATGAATCCATGAAACATCTTATAACATGGAGGAATCTGGAAGGTATTATGCTGAGTGAACTTAGTTGCAAAAGGACAAATATTGTAGAAGACCACTATTAAAAGAACTCAAGAAAACGTTTAAACACAGAAGAAAACATTCTTTGATGGTTACAAGAGTGGCGAGGGAGGAGAAGGGGTATTCACTAGCTAGACAGCAGACAAGAATTATCTTAGGTGAAGGGAAGGACAGCACATACTACAGGGGAAGTCAGCACAATGAGACTAAACCAAAGCTAAGAAGTTTCCTGAACAATCAAACACTTGGAGGGACAGAGTAGCAGGGGCTGGGGTCTGGAGCCATGGTTTCAGGGGACATCTAGGTCAACTGGCATAATAAAGTTTATTAAGAAAATGTTCTCCATCTCACTTTGGTGAGTGTTGTCTGGGGTCTTAGAAGCTTGCAAGTAGCCATCTAAGATGCATCAATTGGTCCCAACCCACCTGGAGCAAAGGAGAATGAAGAACACCAAAGACACAACGAAAATATTAGCCCAAGAGAAAAAAGGGCCACATAAATCAGAGACTCCATCAGCCTGAGACCAGAAGAACTAGATGGTGCCTGGCTACCACCAATGACCGCCCTGACAGGGAACACAACAGAGAGACCCTGATGGAGCAGGAGAAAAATGTGGAGCAGAATTCAAATTCACGTAAAAAGATCAGGCTTAATGGTCCAACTGAGACTGGAGGATCCCTTGAAGCCATGACCCCCGGACGCTCTGTTAACCCAGAACTAAAACCATTCCTGAAGCCCATTCTTCAGACAAAGATGAGACTGGACTATAAAAAATAAAATAATACTCGTGAAGAGTGTGCCTCTTAGTTCAAGCAGATACACGATACCAAAATGGTGGCTCCTGTCCAGAGGCAGGATGAGAAGACAGGAAAGGAAAAGAGCTGGTTGGACGGACAAGGGAAACCCAGGGTGGAAAGGGAGAGGGTGCTGTCACATTATAGGGACTGCAACTAGTGTCACGTAACAACCTGTGTCTAAATTTTTGTATTAGAAACTAACTCGAGCTGTAAACTTTCACCTATATGCAAATAAAAAAAAATAAAGGTAGCTAGTGGAAGAGGAATGGGCTGGATGAGGACTAGAGTGAGAACAAGTCTTCATAAAGTATACTTTTTAAGTTCATATTGAGTTTTGAACTTTGGAGGTATTATCTATTGGAAAAACTTACTTTAAGTAGATAAATTGTACCTTTAATCACAATATAAATCAAATGTGATATTTAATGTCTTTACTAGGAATTCCCACTTGCAACTTCAAAACAAAAAATTTTAAAATTTAGTCATTTATGGCCTGTTATTAAATGGTCTAATACATCTGTACACACCATAAAAATGTAAATTAGAGCTATCTTTCTAAACACAGTGACCAGAGAGTCTATACTTCCATTTTATCTCAGTCATGAGAATGCTTCCAAAATGGCTAAAATATTTAACACACTAAGGCTTCTGGCATGATTTGTTAAATGTAACAGGAGCGTTTTAGATCCCTCTCAAGGTTTAAGTAAGGTTCAGAGTAACTTTTACATTGGTTATAATAGGCATTCCTACGTGTTTGAGAAGTTTTAAATCCATTAAAGTGAAAAATTACCAGTAGAAATCCAACTGATCTAGATAATTTCCTCCAGTGAAAACTGTAAACCCAAGAACTTAAATACACCCATTTCACAGGTTGAGCTTCTCTAGCAAGAGAACATTGTACTTTTAGATTCTAATTCAAGACTGTGGAGAACAGTAAAAAATTACAGGGATTTAACACCAGCTGTAAGCACAGGTAGATGGGAGGACAAGGACCTACACTGAAGAATCATGCTTCTCACACATCTGAGGCTCAGGGCAAATGCATTCCCCACTAGAAAAAGGATTGGTCTGGAGACCCCACAAAAACCAGCTAGACTCACTGCCCTAGCCTCATGCTTTTGGTGAGAGCATGAGAGCACTAAGCCCCACCCAGGACCCGACAAACAGAGCCTTCCCCAACTAACTCTCTCTCCCCTTCTTTACTGCATCACACAGTGTGAGACGTGGCACTGTACTCATAGAACTACACAGAAAAGACTGCAGTGCCTGGGGGAAGCCAAGAACACTGTAGTGATGGGACAAGGATGGCTCTGGAGGGCCTGGGGCCCAGCCTCCTCAGCAAGAGCTACTCCATCTTCAGACTCTGGTCAGGAGATTCTGACACTCAACACAAAGCAGCAAGGCCCAAGGTAGGGATGTTCACACCCCACGTTGCCAGCTCTGAAAGTCACCTATGAAAGGTGACCCTAATCATAAGAGGTTTGAGAATCCACATATGTGCAGCAGAAAGAACCAACGACAGTGGAGCAGGAACTTAGGAGGCTTCTTAGGACTCAGTCCCTCAGCCTCCTGTGCCACCTTTTGACCTCACTGAGGAGCCACAGGACCCAAAACACACAGCTAGTCCCCCAACAATTGATATCTAGTCTCATCCCCTTATGATACGAATACCCCAGTTCTCTGCAGTACTCACCATTTCCTTCTTCCAGCTTCTGGAAGTCTAAGTGAATGTCCACTAAAGTAAAAGGGATAGGAGTGGAAGCAGAGCCACTGGGCAGTCTGGAGGCTGATGAATAATGTTTGGCCCACACAGCCAATCAGAGCAGCGGAAATCCTTACTTGTGATAGCACGGATGTGCAAGATGGTTGCCCTAGGTCCCCAGCTGCCTAGACTGGACTAGTTCTCCCTGTGCCACACTTGGGACCTGAAATGGAAGAAGATGGAGGAAACAGTGTTGAGTAAGGAGGGAATGAGAGAGTTCTTGGCCTTCAACTCTTACCCTGGGCAGGGCTTCCTCCCAGACTAAAGGCAGTGCTCCACCCTAAGGATATCTGCATTTAAGGCAGAGCAGGCTCCAGCCTTCCAGAGCACACACTTGCACTGGATTTTTAAAAGTAAATGGCTGTACATCACTAGTTATTAATATGAAGGATAAAAAAGATAAAAGGACTATTTCTATAGCAAAATTTCCAGTAAATTATATTTCTAAATAGTAAAAAAAAAAAAAAAAAAAGATTATGCTAATGACATTGGCGTTAGCAATGATTTCTGAATAGGACAGTTAAATTTAGACACTTTAAATTTTTGAAATGATATATGCAGCTGCTGCTTGACTCTTTAGTGTCTATACACCTTTCCTATCTTGTTCTTATAAAATGATATCTTCTTCTTGTTCTTACATTCAATAGATTTGATACATATACATACTACCTTCATTCTACAATATTACATTTGGAATAAAAAGAAATATATTTTCTCCTCATATTACAGATGTCACACAATTTACTCATCAATGTTAGTTTTACTTCTTCAAGTTTAACATTTACTATAGATGATGACTTCCTAAAAGTTGCACATTTCATGTTTCAGCAAGAATATTTTGTAAAATTATTATTACAAAGGATGAGGTACTTTTTGCAACAGTTACTGTGGCTGACCCTCTAGGATATGTTCAACTATTTTGATGAATTTTAATACATATGCCTCCCATTTTGTCCTCATTCTGAATACTCCCTGTGCTGCCATTGGGATTATGCCCGAGTTTTGCTCTAAGAAGCCTCCAGTCTATTAAGAAGTGTGGCTCTTTGTAGCAGAAATTGCGTTTGAATCACCAGCATCCAATCTGGCACTGATCCTGTCTCAGCCAAGCCTTTAAGATCTTAGAGAAAGAACTGGGTGTGTAATCTCCATAAATCCCTCAATGTCTATGGTAAGCTTGTTCGGCCACATCACATTTTGCATCAGATCAGCTAGGGTTGGTCATATTGTTTCTCACGCTATCATACCGAAAATGTCTGCCTTATCGCCAAAGAAATTATGCGAGGAAATACATGCCTCATCCTAGAATATATTTCCTCGAGTAATTTATTTCCTCGAATAATCCTGAAATTGAGATACACGTTACTAAATGCACGTACTACTTCTACTAATGTTTCTTAATTCTCCGTATATCTTAAAGACCTAAAAACATAACCTATAAACATTAAAGGAGCGAGAATATGTATCACCATACTCTTTCTTTTTCTATAACCAAAATACTCAACAAAAGTCCTGCCTTGATGAAGCACAGAAAACAAAGGGAAACAAGGTGAGCAGCGGACTGGAGGGGGTGGGAGCAAAGAATTTAGTCTCAGGCCAACTCTCCTGGGCATCCATGAGGCCCGTGACCCTGCATTTCTCACAAAACTCCCAGGTGAAGCTGATGCTGCTGGTCTGGGAACAATACTTTTGCTTAGCGAGGACTCCCACGATTTTACCTGTTAATGCACCGAGAGACACAGGTCCAGCCCATCTACCGAGCCGTCTAGACCCTGGCGGTGCAGAAACCAGCCGCGGACCAGACAGGCGACGGCGGGGTGGGCCGGGCTCTCGGAGGAGGCGGCTGTAGGAAAGCGGCGGCACGGGCACAGGGCGGCTACCGGCAGTCGCGCGGCAGACCAGAGGGCGAAGAAGCCAGGACTGCGCAGGGGAGCGAGAGTAGCGCCCTTAGACCCCAGCTGGGCCCTCCTACCGCGGCTGGTGCCGCGGGCTGCACCCGCTACTCGATCAGGTAGGACGCCTACAGACACAAAATGCACCTCACCCGGTGCAGGAGTACGACCAAAGATGGCAGTCAGTCGGTGGCCGCGCACTTCCACTTCCAGTTTCTCGGGCTCTCCGTGCGGAAGAGGAGGGGTTTGTGCGTGGACCCACAGAGCTCCAGCGTGTGACCATGGCGGGGGGTGGAGGCGGGCTTGGGGGCGGGGCAGTGTCTGTAGCTTCCCCTGTGATTTGGGATCGAACCACCGCTGTCATTTTTTTCCTCTATAGATTTTCGACTCATATCGACTCTGACAAAGTAGAACTGCCCCATAAGGTTTCCTAGGCTGTGATCTTTACAGGAGCAGATCGTCAGGTCTTTCTCCCACGGAGTCTCTGGGTGGGTTGGAACCGCCAACCTTTCCGTTTAGCAGCCAAGCGCTTAACCTTTTAGCCACCAGGGATCCTTAGAGAAAAAAAAATCTAGGTTTTCTTAAATGCATACATGAGTTTAAACATAGATTTCAGTAGTCAAACATTTGTAATACACCTGGGTAGAGAGAGTTGATATTTGCATGTTTGGCCATTAGGCCATATTCTTTAGAGAAATAATTTTCTTGCTTCACGTAAATATTTGCCCATCTTTAGAATCCTTGAAGTCTGAAGAGTTGGCTTCTGTTTCATGGTTTGTCTTCTCTTGCATACCTTTACCCAGGAGCAAGGCAAGGACTATGCAAACCCAATCTGATCTCTCAAAGCGCTGAGGACCTAGGAGAAGAGTTTTTGGGGGAAAGAGTCAGGCAGATTCGAGTCCTTGCGAGGAACAGTAGGTAAACAGTCACGTACTTTTAAAAATCACAATTATAAACAGCTTTTACTTTTTTACCAGGCATATCACGCATATAATTAAATACAGAACTTGAACTAATTTCAAATGTACAATGCAATGAATATTTACATGTGTATATACACTCATTAAACCACCTCTGAGATCACCAATAGATATTGCCCTTTCCCCATTTAATATTGTCCTTGGAGAAACAAGTGTTCTGTTATCCCTGGAGATAATTTGCCTGTTCTTGGTCGTCATATGATTGGAATCATATTGTTTGAACTCTGTTGTGTCTGACTTAATCTACTCAACATAATTCCGTGATATTTTACCTATATTGTTGCGTATAGCAGTAATTTGTTCGTTGCTTGTCACTATGTGGTATTCCATTATAAGAATACACCACAATATTTTAAAAATTAATTACCTGTTTATAAGGTTAGTATTCTAACCTAGGATATAATATATATACTGCTGAATTTTTAATGGGCCCTTGACAATAATGTGTCTTCTGCTGTTATTGGGTGGAGTGTTCAATGAATGTCAGTTAGGTCAAGTTGGTTGCTTCTGTTGTTCAGGTCTTCTACATGCCTACCGATTTCTATATCCTTCTGATTTTTTTTTTCTTTAAGTTCTACCAGTTTTTTCTTCATATATGTTGAAGCTCTGCTGTTAGGTATATACATATTTTGGATTATTATGTCTTCTAGTTGAAATCATTGTTTTATCATTATGTAGTGTCCCTCATTATCTCTCCACCACTAGTCTGTCAGTTTCGTACTGTGGTGGCTTCTGTGTTGCTGTAATGCTGGAAGCTATGCCCCCATATTTCAAATAGTATCAGTGTTACCCATGGTGGACAGGTTTTAATGAAGTTCCAGACTAAGACAGACTAGGAAGAAGGAACTGACAACCTACTTCTTAAAAAAACCGTGAAGACCTTATAAATAGCAGCGGAACACTGTCTACTATTACTACTGGAAGATGAGCCCCTCAAGTTGGAAGGCACTCAAAATACAACTGGGGAAGAACTGCCTCCTCAAAGTAGAGTCAACGTTGATGTAGATGAAGTAAAGCTTTTTGAATCTTCATTTGTTGATGTGGCATGACTCAAAATGAGAAAAAAGAGCTGGAAACATCCATTAATAATCGGAATGTGGAATGTATGAAGTATGAATCTAGGAAAATTGGAAGTCGTCAAAAATGGAATGGAATGCATAAAGATCAATATCCTAGGCGTTAGTGAGCTGAAATAGACTGGTATTGGCCATTTTTAATGTGACAATCACATGGTCTACTAGGCTGGGAATAATAAATTTAAGAGGAATGCTGTGGCATTCATCATCAAAAAGAAAATTTCAAGATCTATCCTAAAGTACAATGGTGTCAGTGCTAGGATAATATCCATATGCCTACAAGGAAGACCACTTAATACTATTATTCAAATTTACACACCAGCCACTAATGCCAAAGATGAAGAAATTAAAGATTTTTACCAAGTTCTGCAGTCTGAAACTGATTAAACATGCAATCAAGATGCATTGATAATTTCTGGCAACTGAAATACAAAAATTGGAAACGAAGAAAAAGGATCAGTACTTGGAAAATATGGCCTTGGCAATAGAAATGTCCTCAGAAATCACATGATAGAATTTTGCAAGACCAACAACTTACTACAAATAGCTTTTTTAAACATAAATGGGGACTACACATGTGGGCCTCTCTAGGAGGAATATACAGAAATCCAATCGACTGCATCTGTGGAAATAGATGATGAAAAAGCTCAATATCATCAGTAAGAAATAGACAGAGGCCGACTGCGGAATAGACCATCAATTGCTCTTATGTTCAAGTTGAAGCTGAACGTCCATGAGAGCCAAAGTATGACTTCAGTATGTTGTTGTTGTCAGGTGCCGTTGAGTAGGTTCCTACTCATAGCGACCCTGTGTACAACAGAACAAAACATTGCCCAGTCCTGCGCCATTCTCACAATCATTGTTATGCTCGAGCACGTTGTTGCAGCCAATGTGTCAATCCATCTTGTTAAGGGTATTCCTCTTTTTTGCTGACCCTCTACTTTACAAACATGATGTCCTTCTCCAGGGACTGGTCCCTTATGACAACATGTCCAAAGTATGTAAGATGAAGTCTCGCCATACTTGCTTTGAAGGAGCATTCTGGCGGTACTTCTTCCAAGACAGATTTGTTCATTGTTTTGGCAGTCCATGGTATATTCAATATTCTTCACAGATACAATAGTTCAAAGGTGTCAATTCTTTTTCTGTCTTTCTTATTCATTGTCCAGCTTTTGCATGAATGTGAGGCAATTGAAAACACCACAGCTTGGGTCAGGCGCACCTTAGTCTTCAAGGTGACATCTTTGCTTTTTAACACTTTAAAAAGGTCTTTTGCAGTAGATTTGCTCCATGTAATGTGTCGTTTGATTTCTTGACTGCTGCTTCCATGGGTGTTGATTGTGGATTCAAGTAAAATGAAATCCTTAGCAACTTCAATCTTTTCTCCGTTTATCATGAGTATATTGCACATGAATTAGAGACCATCTCAAGAATAGATTTGGCACACTGAACACTAATGACTGAAGACCAGAGGAATTGTGGGATAACATCAAGGACATCATATGAAGAAAGCAAAAGGTCAATAAAAACAAAAGAAAGAAAAGACCAAAATGAATGTCACAGGAGACTCCGAAACTTGCTCTTGAACACAGAGTAGCTAAAGCAAAAGGCGGAAATGATAACATAAAAGAGCTGGATGGAAGATTGCCAAGGACAGCTTGAGAAGACAAAGTAAAGTATTATAATGAAATGCGCAAAGACCTGGAGTTAGAAAACCAAAAGAGATGAACAAGCTTGGTATTTCTCAAGAAAAAATTCAAGCCTCGAGTTGCAATATTGAAGGATTCTATGAGCAAAATATTCAGTGGTGCAAGAAGCATGTAAAGAAGAAGGAAGGAATACAAAGAGTCATTGTACCGAAAAGAATTAGTCTATGTTCAACCATATGAGAAGGTAGCATATGATCAAGAACCGAAGGTATTCAAGAAAAGGTTTAAACACAGAAGAAAACATTCTTTGATGGTTACGAGGGTGGGGAGGGAAATTCACTAAATAGACAGTAGACGAGAATCATCTTAGGTGAAGGGAAGGACAACACACAAGGAAAGTCGGCACAACTGGACTAAACCAAAAGCTAAGAAGTTTCCCAAACACAAGCAAATACTTCTAGGGACAGAGTAGCTGGGGCTGGGGTATGGGGACCATGGTTTCAGGGGCCTTCTAGGTCAACTGGCATAACAAAGTTTATTAAGAAAATGTTCTCCATCTCACTTTGGTGAGTGGCGTCTGGGGTCTTAAAGACTTGCGAGCAGCCACTTGAGATGCATCAATTGTTCCCAACCCACCTGGAGCAAAGGAGAATGAAGAACACCAAAGACACAAGGAAAATATTAGTCCAAGAGACTAAAGGGCCACATAAACCAGAGACTCCATCAGCCTGAGACAAGAAGAACTAGATGGTACACGGCTACCACAATGATGCCCTGACAGGAAACACAGCAGAGAGTCCCTGATGGAGCAGGAGAAAAGTGTGGTGCAGAATTCAAATTCACATAAAAAGACCAGACTTAATGGTCTGACTGAGACCGGAGGAACCCCCGAAGCCATGGCCCCCGGACACTCTGTTAACCCAGAAGTAAAACCATTCCTGAAGCCCTCTCTTCAGGCAAAGACTAGACTGGACTATAAAACATAAAATAATACTCATGAAGAGTGTGCCTCTTAGTTCAAGCAGATACACGAGACCAAAATGGTGGCTCCTGTCTGGAGGCAGGATGAGAAGGCAGGAAGGGGGAGGAGCTGGTTGGATGGACATGGGAAACCCGGGGTGGAAAGGGGAGAGTGTGCTGTCACATTACAGGGATTGCAACTAGTGTCACATAACAACATGTGTATAAATTTTTGTATGAGAAATTAACTTGAGCTGTAAACTTTCAACTAAAGCACAATTTAAAAAGAAGAACTAATGGTATTGAAGAAGTCCAAGATGCACTGAAGGCATTGGCAAAAAATAATGTCCCAGGAACTGACAGAATACCGATTGAGATGTTTCAACAAATGGATGCAAGCTGGAAGCACTCACTCATCTATGCCGAGAAATTTGGAAGATACCTACTTGCCCAAGTGACTGGAAGGGATCTGTATTTGTGTCCATTCCAAAGAAAGATGCTGCAAC